AATCCAAAAAATATTAATGTAATGATAATAAAAGTCTAGACTCATCATATTTTGAACATTTTAGATAGGATTTATTCGGCAAAATTTTGAGCTGACGTCATCAATTTTTGGAGGATATAAATAAATATACAGTATGTTACAGAAAAAAATACATTAATTTTAACTGGTAATAGAACTACTCCAAAGCAGTTAAATTTGTAAAAAACATTTTGTCGTAAACCCTTTCGTGATTGAGTTAAAATTAGTCAAAGATTTAATACAAATTCACCTACCCGCCCATGGCTAACAAAGCGGTTTCTTGCGGAGAGGGATAAGAAATGAACACAAGACGGAACAAAAAATGTAAACATTTGAATGCAAGGCTGTAATAGGTAATGGAGACCTACCTTGAAATCGCCAAAAACTTCATAATAATAATGTTCAAAGTGGGTACCATTATTGTCTAGACAACACTGAAGACGGCGACGAAATGAGTCTTTGACTCTTTGTAACATAATTTCATTGTTTCAAATTGTTTCAGCAGCACGTATCACTCGATCCCGCAAAATTTCAAGAATATCAAAATTCTTTATGGTTGTACTGCCTTTCTCTGGGCTTCTCCATACAGTAGCACCATGTACTTGTATTCACTGTTCGAATAGCGGGGCCTAACTTCACACAACGAAAAATGAAAACACCGCAAAGGAAAGTCGAAAAGGAACTAACTGTTTTGAAGCTGATAAAACGTTATCGCTAGCCAACTCGCCAAAAAATTGGGTAAAAACAAACACTTTCCACCTGATGCATCGAAAGTGAAATTCACGGTCAACAACTGAAGAAATGCTTGGCCGGCTCGTTAAATAATGGGGGGGGGTAAAACTGTGACAAAAAAATTCGTTTTAAAAAATGCTAAATAGAAAAATGTTTTCTATTGACGAGTTCTGTTCGTGGTTAAATTTAATGTACTTTTTTCTGTAACACGTTGTATTTTGATTAAAAATTTATTATGCTTATCATAACTTTAAAACATCTGCAAGATTTCAAAGCATTAGGTTTTCCAGATTAAAATGTAAATTGCAAAATGTTCTTTAATTTGTTTTTTTTTTTTTTTCAAAAATCTGCACGTTTAGGATAAACACTTAACACGAAGTTATGAAGTACATGTGTAGGGCTATGTTACTTGTATTATAGATAAATACAAAAAACAGATATATTTTAATTAAAAATTTAACATAGTTACGATCACATTAAAACGTTTGCAACATTTCAAAGTATTCGATTTTGCAGTTCCTGGTCGATAAAATAACTAGACTTATTCATTCATTTTTTTGAGTCATCTTGTTTAAACAGTTCTGAACAATCTGAATCCAATGATAAATTACGAGTACAGACTCATCATATTTTGCACATTTTCGATAGGAATTATTCGACGAAATTTTGAGATGACGTCATTATTTTTTTAGGGGGGATAAACAGATATTTTTTACCTTACTTACGACAGTCTTAAAACGTTTGTAACATTTCAAACAATTCGGTTTTGTAGTTTCTAAGTTAAATTACAAAGTGTCGTTATATAATTTTGACTTTTTTCCAAAAATCTGGATATCTAGGATGAAAATTCAACCGATTTACACACACAAATGGAGGAGTATAATTTTGTGGAAATGACGTCATTTCATTGGTGGTAAGCATGAATATCAAAATTTTGGTTAGCGTTTTACCATCTACGTGATAGTCCTAATATTCATACAAAATTTGACAACAATTCGGCAATTTCTGAGATTATCTGCCTACTAAAAATCGACACAAAACCAGATGGACAGACAGACGGAAAAGGGAGACCACTTTTTTCGTACTTTAGGGGTCATTAAACGTGGAGAAAACATGTCCCCGATGGACATGAAGTAAAAAGTGACAAGTAGAAAATATATTAAGTATAAAATACACGTTTTATAATACATTTTAGCGCACTCTCGTCCCTTCCTTGGGAAACTCGTCTGACGAATCGTATTCTAATCTTGGGATTCGTGTTCTAAAATAATGTCTTATGAAACTTTTTAATATACCTACTACCGTTACATACACTATTCCATTTATATGTGGCAAACTAATAAATAATAATTTTTGTGTAAATTTTAACCATGGATAGTCTTTAAATCTCAAACTGTTACTTCTCCTGTAACGTCAGACAGATAATATACTAGTAAGTACTGTCCTCCTTCCACACCTGTAACAAACATACAGTGTGTCTCAGTTGAAGTGGCAACACCCCATTAATTCCATTGTTTAACAAATCAATGTTATCAAGAAAAATGGTTCAGAAGTTCAGAATGATTGAAAAACGAAGTCTTTTAATAGCCTATGAAATTTCCATGAAATGTATTTTTAAAATAATGATGTGCCTTGTTAAGTTTGACAGGTGCGCGCTCAAATAGCTGTGAAATAAAATGTCAAATGACTGTGATGCCAATATGTTGTTTTTTAATAAATTTCATGGCCGACAAAATTTATAAAATAGGACCTTAGAACAATGAATGGCTTCTGAATTTTACCCGAAGTTGCCAATAAATAAGCAGTATGGAATCAGCAAGAGTGACAAACATTGATGGACTTTCAGTTTTATAAAATATTTATCTAAAATTATTTAGACAGAATTTCCTTCTTTCCTGAACAAATAAATCTAAATACTATTTTTTTGTACTCCAGGGGTCGAGAAAACATGGAAACAGCCAGTTTTAGAATTAATAAACCGTAAGTGCAGAATCACATTATATTATTAAATTTTAAAATCCTTAAGACTATCTAGCAAAATGACATCGTCGAATTGTTGATGGGGATGAACAAGCAAATTTTAGCGTTTAATCTTCTACATGGCAGTCTTAAAATTTACCCAAAGTTCTTGCGCAATCGACACAGTAGTTTCGGAGATTACATATCTAATAAAATAACCAACAGGTAGACGAATGGGAGAGCCCTAATCTTTCATATTCTAGAAGCTTCGAGGAAAGGTGAAATTAGCAATTGGCCAAAAGGATCCCAATATTACACTTGCCGACCTTACGCTCGGGAGTAACAAATTGGTGTAAATAATTATTTAGACACAATTTTCCTGGACCCTGAAGCACATTCATGATTATACATATTAATATACTGTAATAGTGAATTCTTCAACAAAATAAATATATTTATTAATTTTTATTAAATGACGACATCAGTAACATCACGTTAAATATCTTCAACGAATTTCGGAGAAATTAAATGGAAATAGATAATAAAACAGTTTTCATTCAAACATTAAATTTTCCTGGGTCTGCCACATCACATAACCATCACCATGCAGGGCAAATTTTCAATACCGTTTCATTTAATAATTCTTTAAGATAATTGACTTTAATATGCGGGATGATATACCACTGAATATTTAACTTAATTAACTTATTTAAAAATTAAAATAACAGGAACGTAAAAATCAGTGGTAAAATAGCGGCTTAGGTACAGTATTAATGAAAAAAATTTAATTGATCTTTATTTCAAATTTTCTTGAAAGTTTCGTAAGATGAAAGATCGAACTATGTTTGTTTAGTATTATTTTTTGGAATACTATAAATATATGAAATAGCCAAAATAATAGCCTAAAATTTAACACCAAATTACAAAATCGTTTAACTTGAGAAAAACTTATTTTCTTTACTTGTTTGGAACCCAATCTTGTCAGCGTTCGAAACATACTTATAAATTTTGTTAAGAAAAAAGGAAATAGTTTTTTAGTTTGTTAAAAATTTTATTCTTACGAAGTTAAAGTTGGACAATGTTTTTGGCCCGATTTATACTAGTAAAAGCGTTATAGAACAAGAAAAAAAATTATGATTTTACTTACGGTAGTTTTAAATGAGATCTAAAATTTTAGTTACATCAGAACGCTCTTTTCGTAGATTACCATTTTAGAATATAAAAAAAACATGTTATTTTATCAAATTTCACTTGATTTTCAACCTCTTCGGGATGTTTTCAATCTAACTAATCTAATCTAACAACAATTAAAATAGGTTCACTCCTCTTTTATTTAAATTTACAAAAGAACTATTTAATAATACAAAATTCATAAAGACAAATCAAATAAATAATGACAATGTATTTATTTAACTTTAAACGAGTTAATATCATGTTTGCGGAAAACAGTTTCTTATGAAGTTTTCCTTATGCTTACACTTATAATTTATAATTATAGTTATAAATATAATTGTAACAGTTATGCTGACGGCTTAGGACCTTACATTGGCAAGCAGAACTGACTTTCTGTCACGTAAATTGATTAATTTTGCACATGAATAATTTAGAAATTTTGGCGGTTTGTGGCAATGTAGAAGATGTTCAGAACTATTTAGTGTATCAGTTAATACAAAGGAATTTCTTTTTCAGTTGCGACATAATTAGAGTTCTAATAAATGACACTGATAGACATTGTAGAAAAATTCTATTGTTGTCAATATAAGATGTAGCGATTATGAGTGTTATAATTATAAGACATAGTTATAAGGATAAGTGTAAGCATAAGAAAAAATTTATTAAAAATTTTGCGCAAACATGCTAATATCAACGTGTCAACCAAAATTAAGTAATCTTTAATTATATTATATCTATATTTCATTATATTTAATATCTTGCTATTGATATTTTTGATAAGCTTGTAGCATTATACCGTTAATTAAAATTTACAAGAAACATCTATTATGTATACTCATAATACGGGCATAACGTACATTAAGCTGTTTAATATGTTCTGTTAATCCGGGATCTCCGCCTGAAAGCCCGGAAAACTTTTAAGCACAAAGAGCTTCACGTTCTGACTCAGTCTTTCGCCGACCTTTGTCGAGAATACATACACTTTACGGAGTAACAATAAATTACCTGAAAAAAATCAGACACATCGTTCTCAATGATTTTTTTTTATATAAAAATGACATCTGAACTTGCCACTTTCAACTAAAAACGAAAAAAATCGTAAAAACTATTTTTGAAAAATGAATAGTAGAATATTTATGTGGATCATGTTTTTTCCTTTGCTTTGGGAACAAGGATGTTCTATTCGTTGGCTGTAAGTACTATTTTGTTATACATACATATAAATTTTTTTTTTATTTTAAAGCACCTACGCAAATCTTCCAGTAAAAAAATATTCTCGACATTTATAATTCCATTTTTGCGTGCACTTGTATTGTAAAAGCTAATGCCTATTATAAACATTTCACATGCAATTCTTAACGGATGTCAAATCTTTGTTAAGGAGTCGTAAAAAATATGACTAACTACTGTAAAGTAAGCAACTTTATGAACATGTAGCAAAGCTCAAAGTGAAAATTAAATTACATTGATCTTTTCAGTCTGCCTACCCTTTTACAACCTTTGAATTTTGTATAAGGTTTTTCATATAAAAAAACTATAAACTTTGGACCAATTTTTTTTAATTAGCAATAAATTGATTTTGTTCTTTGATACTAAGTTCCAAAACAATTCTTTGTTGTTTAAAGACAAGAATAACAATAATTAAAACTTAATTCTACTAGAAAACAGCTTTCGAAACACTGCATGTCGCGAATTAGGAGACAACAGTGTAAACTGATACGTGTTTTAACCGATGAGTGTAAATTTTTTGATAAATTAAGAACATTATATCAGTGTAGATACTATTTTTATATACACTCCCTTACGCATCATCAGCTACATTGATTGCTTTACCTGAAGTCAACCATCTACAAAAGCAGGGTGTAAACTTTGAATTAAATATTGTTTTTTATGTCATAGTTCCATAGAACCAAAAAGAATAGACAATGTTTTGTCCATATAAGAATGATATACATGATGATCAAAAAATAGCTAACTAACTAACTCTATGACACGTTGTTAACGACTGTTTATTGAGCCAAGAAAAAATAATTTAAAAAATTGTTGGCCCCAGTGTAGAAGCCTTCAAAGCTTAATTTTTCTTTTCGATATTTTATTAATATAACGAAATATCGAAAAGAAAAATTATAATAATATTATATGTGACAATTATCATTAACTATTTTTTATAAATTGAGGAAAACAGCTGCTGACTTAGTGTCAAAAATGTCAATTTCACAATCATAAAATTTTAAAAATGTGATAAAAAAATCGCAAATATGAACTCGGTATATATGCATTTTTGAAAATAATCTTATAACAAAAGTTTTTTATACATGCAATATTTAGAGGTAACTACTAATTATGATATCAAGGATACTTTTATTGTCATATTTTTATTATAGAAACGTATTTTATGTTACAGTTTAATTATGTTTTTACCGTTTAAGAGTATTGATAGTTTCTTATCTTTGAAAAGAACAGTAAAAACCTTAAGACAATCGAAACAATTTTGTGAAATGTCAGTTATAATTTTGTTTCCTCTTCGTATTTCTTGCTATTCACTTCTGTGGGGTTTCAATTATAAAATATACTTATAAACAATAAACACCACATCAACCAACAATTTTTTAAAACTTAGCTCATATGTGTACCGTCCACTTTACTTTAATCTTTAAAAATAAATGCTTATTTATGCACATGTTTAACTTTTTATTTCTCGAGTAGAAGCTATAATAGAGTCCGGCTACTTTCATGTTTTCTCTACGTTTCATGACCCTTGAGTATGAAATAATAGGTCCCCCATTTCCTTTTATCTGTCGTTTGCCTGTCTATCTGTTAACAGGATGACGTTACCTCAAAATTTTACATAGCAAATGCTATTTAAATTTTATATAATAATATACTCCTAGGCTTGTGGTATAAATCACGGATTCATAATTTCATTCATCGATTTTCGACCCCAGACATCAAAATGTTTAAAAAAATAGATCAAAATTATATAACAATATTTTACAATTATTTAACTTTGAAACTGCAAAACCAAATGTTCTGAAATCTTGCAATATTCATATTTTCTAGAAGTGCTTATACAGGGTGTCTCAAAAAAATTAATAAATGAGGTAGTCTATTTTATTGATCAAATCAAGAACGGCTCGCCGCATGCTCCAGAAACTTTTGTTTGTTATACAAATTGATTGATATACGAGCACGTGTCCTTGCTAAAATGTAGATGACGTCATCACAAAATTTTGTAAAAACTCAGTTCAAACTACGCATAGCATGCCTCTTTACCTTTATTTTAACACTACATTCAACATCTTTATTTTAATCTACCTCATAAAGAATGATATTCGCAACATCAAATTTTATAGTTTTTCGAAAACGCTACATGGGGTTTGCTGTACTTCGAGGGCGAGGAAACCTTAATATATTTATCTCAATCGCTCTTATTCAATTTGTAAATTTTTAAATTCAAAATGAATCCAGCAAATAAAAAAATGTACAGTGACACAGATCGAAAGTTTTACGTAGAATTTTAACGCTTACTGCTTTTTCCAAGAAAAAAGTATTTTGTTCCTAGTCCCTGCCTATGATCGGTTTTTCTAAATCGAAGGATGATTCCGGTTAACAAATCTAAAAATAACTTACCTGAGCAGCTGCCAGGAATCCCTTAGTATGGAAAAATGTAGTTGAGAAATAAAATTCCAGTCATTTTCATTTTTTTACTTTTCATGCAAAGGCTAGGAAAATAGAAATTGTAGCGATATGACTTTCAAGAGCATGCACTAAAAATTTTATTTACGGTAATTGAAGCCAGTGTTGTAAGATTCGCTAAACTAAAATTTTATACTCTGTTGTACTGTTGCGTACAATAAAAATATGTTAAAAATGAAACTTTAGGTACATAAGAAATATTTTATTTTCACCTCTTCAGTTGCTCTAAGTGGTTATAAACTATGAAAAATTATTACAGTTCCATCCCTCCTTGTCCATATACCCAGTCCTTTATGAATTTTATCTTCTTAGTCAAAAGGGCCGTCAGTCTGGCCTCAACCACACCTGTAATTAGTGGGCGCCCTCCCGACTTACCTGAACGATATTATCAAAAGTTAATTATAGATTAAACTTATGTTCACGCGATCTAGCATTGTCGCTCGACGACCAACAATCTTATGAGACTTTTGCCCTTAACTCTTCAGCTTAATTAGCGTGACATTTGTAATTTCTTAATAACACACGAAATGCATTTATGTGTCTACCATCTTGAAAAATGCTTAAGATCCATAAAACAAGTATTACCTCTCATCTTGTGTCGGCATGCTGATAATAAAAAGACGAATCTGCCGCAATTAACTCATTGCTATTGTATTTTGTCATACCTTTGCCATACATCCGAGGGTGGAGTGTCAGAAGGAATGTTTATTGTAGGCATGTGTTTGAAGTCTTGTAGTATGCCGCTTGTGAAAGTGTTAATTGTACAGATTTTTTACGATTATTACTTATCTACGACATGCCCTTATTTACTTCACGTTAGTGTAAGGTTTAATAATTAGAGGAACAAAGGATCATGTTGACACAAGTGAGGAAATTACGAAACGACCTGCATGACTCGTTGGTAGTTAATATGTTGATAAAATTGATAAAAAAGGGGTCCTTTATATGTATTCGGATCATTATCGAAAATAATTTCCTCTGTGTAAACCTTTTGTACATTTGAACTCTGATAATAATAATTGTCTAAATGTGAAGTTTTGCATATCTTGGAGCGCTCCTCAAGTCACCCCCTCCATTTAATTATACGCAATTGCAACCAGACAAATATGCACAGACTATGATTCGTTTTTTATACCTACGTAAATTTAAATAAATATTTTCTTTTCAGAACTATTCTTACCTTGTATATTTATCTACATTATTTAATTCTTAAATAATGCAAAAATTAAGTTAAAAAAATCGCCATTAACAGTTAGGTAGGTAGTAATCAGGCAAAATGATATTACACCTAGTCTGTCTAAGGATCTGTCTTTAACAATTATTGGTGTGTCGTCTGAGAAAAGTGAAAATTTTCGTTTTCAAAATAACTTAGTCTATCAGTCACATATATTAAAAACAAAACTGGTCTCAACACGGAGCTCTGTCTTATGCATTGTTATTTATATCTACGTACATATTGTTATCGATTCATTAGATACAAGTGAATAAAAAGATACAAGTAACTAATTTTTAATTGCTAGTTTACTTAAATTCATGGGATAATTTTGAATAAGTTTTTATTAGATTGAGGAATATAGGTATAACAAATATGTGTTGAAACTGTTTGCTACGTTCTGATGGATCATTTCTACTTTTGTTTCCTTACTAGTGTTCCCCACTATTTTGGTTTTATTACTTGATTTCAATATGTATTGTTCATTAGAAAATTTTCCACTTTCAAGTGATATTGCTTTTTACAATTTTCATAAATTTTGTGATCAATTCTTAGTTAATTTCGTAATCGTAAGGTCATACAACAATTAAAGTGTAATACCTAGGTTATTTCGACAGAACTTCCCTCGCCCCTAAAGTAGAATCCAATAAATGCAGATTTTTCAAAAGGTTTGTAAAATTTGATATTGGTATTTTTTATGACAGCCCTTATAAGTGTAAATGAAGATATATATGTATTCTCAAATTTCCAGGAAAATGGAGTGAGTCGTTCTTGATTAAATCAATACAATAAATTGCCTCATTCATGAATTTTCTTGAGTCACACTGTGTAAGTAATTCTAAAAGTTATGAGTGCAGTGATAAACCACAAATATACAGTCATAATATTTTACACACCTCAGAGGGAATTTATGCAGCACAATTTTGAGATGACGTCATCAAATTTTTGGGAAGGGATAAACCAATAAATTTAGATTAATAATTTACCGATAATGATGTATCCGATAACGGTTGCAAAATGTGTTTACATTTTTTTTCCAAAAGTTTCCTAAGGTGAAAACCAACACGGATTCGAACACCACAAGTCCAGGAGTATCTTATTTTAAAAAAATAAAAACAAATTTGCTGATGTAAATTTTGGAGATGCTTGGGACGTTTAGCCAAATTTTAGTTAGCGTTTTACTATCTAGATTATAGTCCTGATACATACAAAATTTTACAACAATCGGTCCAGTAGTTTCGGAAATTATCTGTCTAATAAAAATCCGGACAGACAGACCAACA